AGAGCACAGGTTGGAGGGAAAGGCTGACTCATCTGTTAACTTAGTTTTAAGTGGAAGAAATAATGTTGAAAGCTTAAACCAAAACTCGAGCATGTCACTGTTTAACTGAAGCTCAGAAAAATCATTGCCCCAGAGGCACTTCTGTGGAGTCAGACCCTGTGGGTCTCCTGTTCTCATGCAGTGCTGGATGATGATGCAGTCAGTACCTGGGGTAGTACCTGCTCCCTGCTGTTCTAAAAACCCACTCACCTCTGTGGTGTGAACTCAGACTTGCCCTGGTGTAATGGGCAGAACCTGGCTCTCATTTCCAGAGGACTAACCCTGTGTGGACCTGTAGGACAGGGCCTTGAGCCTTCAGTGGTGCTTGTGCTGTTCGGCTGCTGTGCTTGGGGAGGGCAAGGCTGGTGTAGTGACTTGGCTTTGGAGGAGTGAAGGAGGGCTTCATGTCAAGTGTGGACCCCATGGTATGTGAACCTTACTCCAGCAGTATTTAGAGATGGTGAAAGGTACTGAGGTGACAACCCTGATGGCTTTTCTAACATGTTTGCCCTCAGCACGTTCAGAAGTGCCTATGAAAGCACCCCTCAGTGCCCTATCATGCCTCACACTGAAATAAGCCACTTCTCAAGTTTAACTTTGCAGTTGTTGAAGCCCAACTCCACCCTTCAGGAGAAGCCAGTGCTGCTGCTCTCCCATGAGCCAGACTGGGAGGTCAGGAGTGGTGATTCCAACAGTCAGCACAACTGGATTGGTAGAAAGATGCTGTGAGAGAAATTATTATTCGATCCTATGTGATAATAGGAGCTGTTTCCCAAATGGGATATGGATAGGGCACAGAGGCTCTAAGAGCTGGTATCCTCTCCCATGCCCTCCCTCAGCTGTGGTCTACATCGCTTAGCAAAGGTTTTCCCTCCAGTGGTGCAGTGAGTTCCCTGCTCAAACACTGCCCTGTAAATCCAGCTTCAAAATCTGTCTTCTGGAGACTCTGAAGGATCCCCATCTGCTGGAGGAGACATTCTTCCCCCTTTATTTCTCTGCTGCTGGTGTCCTTGCTGTGTGCTGCCCCCTCCCCCAGCAGTGATGGAGCCAGTGGAGGAGGGATGGGGGGATTTGTCTGAGTGGCTTTGCTAATGGGCGATGAGCGGGGAGGGCATTGCTGTGTGGTCCCTGCATCCGGCAGGAGGACTTAGGAGAAGCGAGTGGGCTGGGAGCGTATCCGTACCTGCCACGTGGCTCCTCCGAGTCTGTTGAATGAAATGCACCCAATTAGCAGCCCAGGAGGATTGAGGAAACAGGATTAGTCAGGTTCTGGCTGTGTCCCAGGGGCCAGTGAGTCACCCCACCTTTCCCTCCTCCCCACCCTGCAGCCTCCAGCGTTTGTGCTCCATCACAGCTGCAGTTTTCTCCCAGGCTGGTTTAGCTGTGCAGAGACTTCAGGTGGAGAAAGGTGTCCGGGGAAGGATGTCACCAGCTCGCTGCCCAGCTGGGCTCTGGGGACCTCCAGCTTGCTGTTAGGGCTGGCTTGGCAGAGCTGTGACTCAGGGAAAGGCAGGAGTTTAATTTACTGCCTGTGTGGACACAGGGATGTGGATAATGGAAAAGGGGTAATCGAGAAGGGTGAGCTGGGGACTGAATCCTGACATGACCAGCCAAGGCGGGCTCTGTCACAGGCTGGGGAAGTAGGAGTAAAAGTAACTGGACCATCTGCCCCTTTGTGGGAGTTTATCAGGAGCAGAGCTGTGACATGTGGCTTCAGTCGCACCTCTGAGGACAAGGAGGGGAAGAGGAGGGGGTGGAGAGTGAACCCATCTGTCTCCCGCTGTCTGACAAGGAAGCTCGTGAGATAAGAGCTGGCAGAGAGAGTGAGGGAAATTCATCTCGTGGAGCTTAGTGAGCTGCTGATCTGAACAACTAGATGGAACAGTTTTTCTGTCACCCTTTGTTTTGGGAGGTTATTTAGCTGGGTTTGAACAAGAGAGACAATGGGCTGTGTATGGGAAGCAGGGTTGCTGTGAAACGCACTGCCCCATCTCTCTGCCCTTCTCACAGTGCCTCTCTCACAGCACTTGGGGCTGCCTATTCTTGTGTGAGTAGCTGTGTCCTTCCCTACTTAGCCATGACTTTTATTCAGGCTCTGCCGTTGGTAACCAAGGTACTGAAACAGGGGGTCACATAATAAATACAAATTGCAGAGAGACAAAGAGGTAAAGCTGAACACAAACCAGAACGTTGATGGACACTCAGACTTAAACAAAGCCAGCTCTGAAAAATTTGGAGAAGGGGTAGGATGTTTGAAGCAGGTCACAGCAAGGTACACAGAGACTGTTTAGCTACTGGAAGGCCTTACCTTACCCCCTAGGTAGGGTGACACTTCTGCAGGTGTTTGATCAAAAGGTTTGCCTTCAAAAGACAGGCCCTGTGCTTTGGGGTGATTTTGGGAAGCTGACAAAAAGCTGTATGCTGGTTGTGTTCTTTGCTAGTCTGCTTCCTGTCTGTGCCTCTCTTCCCAACTTCATCTACAGGTCTCCCCAAGATGTGTTTTTATGGATGTACAGGGAAAGGGAGGGACCCACAGCCACTATTTAGATGTTTGGACTGGGAAACACCTTGGGGCAGGCAGGAGGAACATGAGGAAAGGTAAACCATGAGCCTTTGCAGGGTGGTAGGAAGGGGCAGGTGTCTCTAGTGGGGCACTGGCTAAATGGGAAGCCCTGTCCCTGGTGTTGGGACCAGGTCTCTCTGACATGGCTTTCTACCTCATGTAGATGATATCTAAAAGGACTTCAGCTTGGAAAAATGCCCATGTACTGTGTGTTGACTTCAGTGTGATGAGATCTGGAAAAGGTTTACCCCTCAACACCCCTTTTTAGTGCTGCACCAGGTGCTGGCCTCCCTTCCTGGTTAGCCCATGGTGCCCCTGTGGTTTTTTAGCATGTGGCTTGGCTGTACCAGGTCAGACTGACTCACTTCAGATGGGAAAAGACCAGTTCAACCATAAACATCTTTACTGTGTGAATAAGATAATATCTTCAACGTGCTGCTCTCTGAGATCCCCAGTAATTCAGTCTGTTTTCACTTCACTCATACTTTCCTTATGACTGGTATTAGAGGAAAAAACCCACCCAGTATTTATCACCTCCTTTCCCAGCAAAGTGTGCCAGTTCTTCCCTTCACTTCCTCATGGGAGAAAGGTAACACAACAGCTTCTCTTGTCCTGAGGGCAGGTCTGGCTGGCACAGCCCACATCTTCCCCGACCTTCGCTCCGGAGCCCTTCAGGAAGAGCACTGACCAAAGAGCAGAGCAGCTCCATGAAAAACAGCAGGTGAAAATTCCTGGCAGTTAAAAAGGGGAAGGATTTTCAGGTCATAAAGCTTGAAAGTTCCTGATGTGTCTGCTTTTATTGCCCGGGGAAAAACCGACACGGCACCGTCGGTCATGGTGTGGATGTGCTGCCACCACGGAGGGCACAGGCTGACAGAGCCTGGGGTGAAAATACACAGACAGAGACTCTGTTCTGAGATCTGTTCGGTGAATCAAAAAGTAATGTGCTGCACCTGATGATGCCAAAAGTTTGCTGGTGTTGCACACCTGCCTGCTTTGATCACCAGAGGTGAGTGAACGGCTGCGTGTTCTCTACAGGGTATAGGCTGAAGTATTGGCTGTACTTTAAAACACCTGCAAGTGTGATGTGTGTGTGCACTGGGTGCACCTGTAAGTGCCTGCCTGGCTTAGAAAATCCTGTGCAGGTGACACAGTTTTGCTGTGTAAGGCTGAGTTTCTGTTCTGGGTATATCGTGGGTGGCTGCTGCCGTGAGACCATAAGCACGGTAACAAATGCCTTTGAGCTGTTTGATGTCTTTAATTCTTTATAGTAAATCCATCTACAGTAACCAGTTCCTTCATGTTTGACAAAGTGTTGAACAATGTGTGTCCCTGTGGAGCCCAGCACAGGCTGTTGGTGTAATCCCTGCTTTTAGCTGATCTGTGCTGTCTTTTCTCTAGTCTTTATAATGAGCAAAGTTATTTCCTAACCTCCGACTGTTAAAGCTGCATATACAACACACAGACATTTAATTTTCCCTCTCTTAACTTTGTGTGAAGCATTTGTTATTTTGAGGAAGCTGCATAAGCAACTCTGTTTTCCCTGAGCTGCTCTTTCACAGCTCCTCGCTCTGCAGAGCTCTGCACATTGTGTTTTTCAGTCCTGTTTAAAACCCTCTGCCTGGGGTTCCCCAAAGGCCATGCAGACTGTGAGGCACAAGAGCAGCATGAGGAACTAGCACTGTGAAAATCTGCTCATTGGCATGAAAAGCCACAAAGCTGGTGTTAGCAGCGGTAGTTTTGAGAATTTTTCGCAGTCCCTTGAAGCAGTGTGAATATTATCTGCCTGATTTTGCTTGAAATATTTAGAATTAGCATCAAAATGAACCAATTCCTGAAGGTGTCTTGCTCACCAAACAATAAAGCCCACTGGAGGCAGACAGAACTGGACTGAAAGGCCAAGTCTGGGTGAGACTTCTGGCCCCAAGATCTTTCTCTGCTGTGTGCTTCTGGGATATCAGCAGAGCCATCAAAGTTTGCAGATTTCTTATAAATATATGGCATTATGATTCAAAGGCTCGAGTTTTGAATGAAGAAGCTCTATTGACAAGCTGCTTAGGAACCCCAGTGGGGCCAAGAGGCATCATTGGGCAGTGTTGATAGGGGTTTTACTCTTTCAGCATGAATATTCCCCTTGGAAATCCTCTTTGTCCTTTATCTCTTTTCCATTCATCCTCTTCAGGGGCCCGTGGTGACAGAGTTCTCCCATGCACAGTTAAAGAAGCAGCAGTACACAACATCTTATAGGCTGGGAGCAGTGTAGGAGCAGAGCCCTGCAATGAAAAAGGGCTCTTGGAGGTGGAAATTTGTAGTCCATATGCTTCTCCAAAAGCCTGCCTGAAGCTGCTGCTTCTCCATCCACCCACAGACCTGAAGTCTTTCTGCTGTGGGCACTTCAGAGTGCCCTAGTGAACAGCCACCGTCACCGGCACTGACCGTGGGGAAAACTCCTCCAGAAACTGAGTCTGCTGGGTGGATTCTGGTGCCAGTTTCAGACACACACTGGCCTCTGTCATGCTGTTGTTGTTGGCAGAGCTGCTGTTGCGACAGGGCTCTTTGGCAGGGCGGATGGCCACCAAGAACTGGCGCTTGAAGGTCTCGCTGAGGGCAATGTAGAGGAAGGGGTTGAGGCAACTGTTGGCGTAGCCCAAGCTAATGGCAAAGTTGTAGGCATAAAAGAAGGCCATGGATGGTGTGTCAATGCCAAGGTGAACCAGCTGGAGGATGTAGAAGGGAGCCCAGCAAATAAAAAAGGCGGAGCAGATGGCAACTGCCATGCGGGTCACCCTCTTCGTGCGTACCCGGAGACTCCTCTGGGGCAGTGGGACCACGGTGGTGGCCATGTGCTGGAGGATCTTAAAATACACCACACAGATGATGATCAAGGGCACAGCAAAGGCCAGCATGAACTGATAGAGGGTGAACCAGTAGATATCAGTCTCTGGGTTGGGAAGCAAGAGGGCACAGCGGACGGTCCCATCCTCCAGAGGCATAAGACCGGCGTACATCCACACGGGAATGATGGTCAGGAAGGAGAGGAGCCACACCAAGCAGATAACGAGAGCTGCCACACACGGGGTCCGGATGTAGGTAGATTTTAGGGGGTAAACAGTTGCCAGGTAACGATCCAGTGTCATCACTGTGAGGATGTTGGTGCTGGTGATCTGGCTGTTCGTGTCCAGGGCGGTGATGATGGTGCACAGGGGAGCTCCAAAGTACCATGAGCCATTGCCTAGGAGCTGGTGGATGAGGAAGGGCATGCCCAAGAGGAAGAGGAGGTCCACAATGGAGAGGTTGAAGATGAAAATGTCGGGCACGGTCTGTTTGCATCTCAGCTTCTTCTTCTTAACAATAGTGTAGATGACAATGAGGTTCCCCACAATGCCCAGGAAGCAGATGATGCTGAAGAGACTGGGCATGATCACGTTGGTGTATGGTGCTGGCTTCTCTGCTGCTGCCAAAACAAACCAAAGCAGTGAGTGCAACCCACAGGCAACCTCTTTACAACTCTGTGCTTGCCCTGTCCTGCAGCTGGACCCATCCCTACCAAAGATGTAGCTCAGGATGATTTTTAATACCCTTTGCAGAATTTGGTGAGGCTTAGCTGTGGATTCAACACTTCTGTGCCTCTCAATACATGCAGCACACCACCTAAATCTGGCCACGTGTAAACATCTTTCCTCAGCTTTCTTCTGTTCTACTCTGAAACTCCCCTGCCTTTTTGGGGGGACTTATATCAGGCTGGTATGCCTTTGTACTCACTAGTGTCTGACAGAGTCCATAGTAACTTTTATTCCTGGGAGTGCTGGTTTTTCAGGCATTTTTTGAGGGGAGAGGATGAGGCAGCTGGTGCTTCACACATTGAAGAAGTAAAGCTTCTCTGTGGGTGCCAAAATCTGGATAAAGTCAATGCTCAAGCTGTTGTCAGAAAGTGTCAGCTCATCTGTTGGGTAGTTTATCTATTGTACAGGATGAGACACGGAGTTCACTGACTGTGCAGGCAGACAGCTAATGCTTGTCTGTGCTGTGAGATCTGGGACTGTACCCTGGCTGAGTCCCAAGTCTGATGTCAGAGTTGGGCCAAAACAGGCTCTCCTTACCATCTTCCTCCTCTGCCTCTCTCCCTTTCTCTAGTTTCTTCCCTAGAAAGAAATCCAGGTGTGTGACCAGACAGGAATTTTGGAGTATGTTTCAGAGTGGCCCTATCACAGGGAATGTCCTAATTCTGCAAGGAGAAAAGAAGCTTAAAACTGCTTAAAACTGCTGTCTCTGAGTTCTGTATATAGGTGGATTTCAAAGGCAAAATTCTTGCCTGATAACAGGTAGCACTGATGGTTGATTGTTGCTCTTTGGGGTAGGAGGCCCAAAAGTAACCAAATTCACATTTGCCTTGTCTGGGTGTAAAATCACATTTTGAAGCCACAAGCTCCTGGGCACAGAAGGTGGTGTCAAAGGCAGTGATGGTGGTGCCCTCTGTTCTGCAGGGCTCCACGTGCACTGTGGGGTGGAGTCTGAGATCGCCCTTCTCAGCTGAGGCAAATCTCATTTCATCTCATTACTCCTCTCCCATGGGGCCTGGTGGGCTTTTTTCTAGGAAAAGGCTTTGTGTGAGTTATTTATGTGGCTTTTACAAGGACATGCGTGGCAGCCCCTCAGCTTAGACTGCATGTCATTGAATTGCAGATGACTCAATGTGCGTTAATTGGAAATGCTTTCAGTCACTGAGCTATTCCACCTCCTCAGCAGCAGAAGTGGTTCCTCCAGCAGGACCTAAGGAAATCTTGAAAATAAGATTAAGTGAAATAACAGATACTCGTAGGTGTAGTCTTTGCCACAGTGGTGCCTCTTTGAGGTGATATTTGCTGACTTTGACCTCTGGAATTCTTGAGTACAACCTTCTCCCCATTTACGTTGGTGTGACAGAGAAGTTTGTCTGAACTGGCAAGATAACTTGGGCCCCACTGGTGGCCTGTGGCTGGCAAAGTGTGTGCTGTGTCAGCTGTGTGTAGTATTTCAGTGCTTTTAGAAGTGGGCTGTGATGAGTTGCCACTGGCTCAGTCCTTCTGGCATTGGGAAGCAGCCAGCTTAGGCATAAGCAAGGCCAAGGCCAGAACCTGAGAGAGCAGTTGCTGCACCATTTTATTGGGAAGCCTGTCTGCAGATGTCAGAGAGCAGCCAATGAGGCACAGGAAGACTGGCAGGGGCCTGAAGGTGGAAGACAGCCTTGGCTGATAATACAAAAAAGCCTGTCCAGATAATTTTTGGGGGGTTAAATAGTCCCCGTTCCTCCTGGTAACTCATTAGTACAAGGAAATGTTCCATTTTTTGTGGCTTTTAGTAGATAACATACAGCTGTCAGTGCCCTATTGAAACCTGATGCTCTTCAGCATCCAACCTGTGCATCCCTTGAGCATCCAAACAGATCTCACACCTTAATGCTGGAAGAGGGCAGACTAGAAACTGGAAGATGATGACTGTGGCCCTGCTGTTCTGCATGTAGCTGTTGTGAGTTCTGGTCTCCTTCTTTTAACTGTGAACTTTGTTATGAATGTGGTGGGAATGGATTGTATGAGTGATGAAACATAAATGCCACTTGGTTAGCTGGAAATTGGGACAAAATGTCCTTTTCCTGCAGTATAATCAATACAGTGCTCCCGGTGACTCTGTAACATTTGGAATGAGCTCAGCTGGCCTTAAAGCAGAATGTGTGCAAGCCCAAAGGCTTCCTGTGAAAAGTGTTCTGTGCAATGCTGTAGCACAGTCCTGCTGTTGGTGGCTGTACAAGCAGGACCTTCAAGCATTATTAGCTGCAAGCTAGTGTGAAGCTGTAGCTCATGTGTGTTTTATGGGCTTGAGTCAGAAGAGCACATCTATCAAATACTCAGAAGTTATCTCTTTTCTAAAGCCTCTTTCATCCTGAGATATTGAATCTGAATTTCCCGTCCTGCTGTGCACATCCTAGTGAATACACTTTATTGAAACAGCCACTTCAGGCATTGATTTGTAGACCTGTGTCTGCTCTGATACTCCTTCTGGAAGTTCCAAAGGGGACTGAACTATGTGAACTGAATGAGGACTGGGCTAAATTTTTTTCTCTAAGGTGGTGGTTGTTCTCAGCCATACCCAGATACACAAGAGACTACATCTTCAGTGCATTTCAGAACAAAGCAGCTCAGGTACATTTTTGGTCTCTAAAGGATGTGCTGGTGCAGAGAGAGTCAAAACCCACATATAAACCACCTTCCCTTGAAGAGTTTCAACTTGCACCATCAACAACTGACTTGCTTGACCATAAACAATCGATTTGGGAGCAGGGCAGCAAGGAGAAAACGGGAGACTGGTGAAGATCTCTGCTTCCCTCTCCAGCGGTATCTCGCATTCTCAGTGCTTTGCTCCCTCCCTGTCTAGCCGGGCTGGTTCGTCCCTTCTCACCAGCCAGGACCGGAGGGCTGCTGGAGTTGCTGCTGCCTGGCAGCCAACAGGTAGCGGATGGCTCCGAGCCGCCGGGGCGGGTCCGGTGCCGCTCCCGCACCCCTGGAGGGGTCAGCCCGTCCCGCCCGGAGCTGTCCGCCCCCGGGTGCTGAAGGCGGCCCGGGCGGGGTGCGGGGGGTCCCCGCCTCAGCCCCCCCCAGCCCCGCGCAGCCCCCGCTCTCACCTGAGCCGTTCCGAGCCTCCGGCGCGGAGAAGTTGCGGGAGGAGTTGCCGGGGGCCATGGCAGCGAGTCCCGGGACGGAGAAAGAAAGTTTGGGAAGTTCCCTGGGCGGGTCCGCGGTGGGATGGGATGGGCCCCCCGCGCTTTCCCCGCAGGGTGCGGGAGGCAGGAGCGCTCCCTCGGCCGGCGAGCGGGGGCTGCGGCTCGGCTGAGCTCCGTTCCGCTCCCGCCCCGCCGAGCCCGGAGCAGGTTCTGACATCAAGGAGCAGCTGACTCCGGCAGACAAGCCGGGTGGGAGCATCCCTCAGCCCTCGCCGCCGTCGGTGGGAGGGAACGCGGGTGCGGAGCGGGGCCGGGGGGGCTGCTCTCGGCCAGCCGGGCGGGGAGCGGAGGGGGCCGACACGGCGGCTGGGCAGCGCCCCCTCCCATCACACCCCCAGGGGAGGGCTGGGATCTGCACCCTCCCGGCTACAGCCAGCCCGTGCTCGCTGTGCCTATAGGAGTATCAGATTTTTGCCTTTTAAGTAGTTCTGATCTGCCTTCAGTGTGTATTTTTCTCTCTTGTAGACATATGCACTTTTCATTCCCGAGTCACAGGCACCAAATTACCCACTGAAAACTCTGTTGCTTTGACCCTCTTACCCTCTGACCTCTAACTTCAATTCCAACCTGAGACACTTCATTTGTAATTAGTTCTCTGCTGCTTTTTGCTGTTCCACTTCTTGCCACAGCTCATTTGCTTCCTAGCTCCAGAAATTAGCTCTATTGCTAGCTCAGATTTTGTCTTCTATTTGCCTTAAAAATACTAGGCAAGAACCCCCTTGGGTTTTGAGAAGCTGTTTTGCTCTTTTTCCTTGCCTTGCCAGAGCAGTAGCCTGTTCTTTTCTGTGGCTTTGAGCTGATGATTTTGTTGTGCTTCCTGCCCACTGTTTATACATGAGATGGGTTCCTTCATTATAGCTTGATAAATCACATGGTACTGGGGCAAACAGATCGTTCTGTACCTCGGAACATTTTCTGCACTGCAAAAGCATAATATCATGTCAGAAGTCAACCATCAGCAACAGGCAGGTTTCTCTCTGTGGCACAGCACAGTGTAGAGGATTGGATGTGCTTTATAAAATCCACAACTGTCTGAAAACATCCCTTGTTTCTGTCTCTGTAGTTGTAAAGGCTGACATCAAATGTAGGAGGCATTTTTTTTGGAGCTTCGTAAGTCTATCGTTTAAGACCAGAATCAATCTGTACCAGTAAAAACCAGACCTGGCACACACACATCAGCAGTCCCAGCATGGGCTGTCAGCCAGATTTGGCAGCAGGATTTTCAGCGTGGGCCATTTTCTGTGTAACCCAAAGGAGTTCATCGTTATTAGGTTGTCCTCTAGTAGACCAACAGCAGACAGAAAACTGGAGCACACTTTGCCCAGGCATTGTAGCTCTTAGGAATCAGAGACAGGCTGGGGCCAATTTGCTATGCTGTAAAGTTTTTGCTGAGTCTCTGGAGTTGCCTCGGTCAGTGATTTGCCCATGAATTTTTTCCCTGGCAGGTATCTGTGGTGTCTCAGTTTTGGATGTGCACAGATTGCAAAAAAAAGCGGTATTTTTCAGTCACTTAATGTTTTCTTAAAAGACTCTTCTTCCTTCACATCTTGGGTGAATGTCAGCATTTATCTGTATCGGGTTACTGCTGCAAAGCAAACTGTGGTTTGTGTACTAGGGTGATGGAGTGTTATGAACAGGGTGCTGTCCTCTGCAGTGAGTGCCTTTGTGTAATTTACCTTAATCCATTCTTGAAGTATGGATTATGAGTGTTTGCATGGGAAACTAGTAGGCAGTTGCTATTGCAAACATTTTTGCCTGCGTAGACAAACTCCTACTCAACTTTCCCTGGAGAGGAATGAGCTATCTTAGAGCTTTCAAAGAAAGAATCTGACATTTAAATGTAGCAGTTTCCAAAGCACAGCTTTAATTTTAATTTGCAACGTCAACTATTACTGTGCACTTAGAAATGCTTCACATGTGAGGAAGCTGTAATTCCTTCTTCTCAGCTGTAGAGGCATAACAAACCACAGCAGCTCCCTCCCTGGTGCATACGTGTCACAGCTGACATGTCAAAGCTGTGCTCAGCATTTGAGATTTGCCCCACCAGCCATGGCTATGTGAGTGTTTTATTACTGGACTTTTATATTCAGACTTTGACAAAGTTTATTTTTTTTCCCTTTTTGTGCTGTCAATAACCTATGGAAGTTCTTGCCCCAGGGAGGGGCTGGCTTTACAGAGTTTTGCCAAGTTGAAGGGATAGAGAGAAGGGAGGAATATGAACTGCAGCAAGTGGTGATGTGTGGCCTGTCTGTGCACAGAGCTCACCGTGGGCAGAAGGAGCAGGCACAGTAATCGGCTCATTATCTGGCTGAACACTTGAAGACAGCAGCTCTCTGAAGGACTGGTTCTGTGAGTGCTCATCTGCTGGAAACTGCAGCAGGGATGAGCTCTCAGGGGACCTTGGGATATAGCTGATAAGTTGTACTAACCACTGCATGTAATTACAAGGAAGATTGAGGCACTAACCCCTTGAAAACACATCTTAAAAGAGAGATATAGTAATTAACATTTAGGCAGGGAACTGCCATCTCAACAGCCTAATGATGTAGATAAAGGTGAGGAAATAGAGCTCAGCCCTTGAACATAAAAGAAAGAAAAATTACTTCTTCCTGCAAACTTGGCATCACCACTACACTCAGGCCATCCTGTCTGCAACATCGCTGCTATGAAAAAAGATAATAATCATCCAAAGCTGCTGCTAGGCAAATTCTGCAACTAGGGAATGAATCTGGCTGGTCTGACAGTGGTTTAACCCTGAAAGGCTCTTGCATTTCAGTAATGAGTTATATTTCCTGTGCCTGTCCCAGCTGGAGATCCTGACTTACGCAACACGAGCAGAACCGCAGCCCCCGTGGGGCAGAGAGCAGCGCTGGCTCCTGTTACCGCGCTACTGAAACCATTTCCCCAGCTGGTTTCACCAAATAATTTCTCATTAAATGGAGACTTTCTCATTTGCTAAATATTTATTTAGCACCTGGCCACTGCTCTGATTTGCACTCTGGAGAGAGGAGCCTTCTCTAAGAGCCAAATTGCAAATCCTCCCCTCCAGCTCACTGCTCTCCTTACTCACGACTCCAGACTCACTGAATGGGCCTCTGCATTTTTATTGCTTAGCTCTTTGTCTGTGTTTATATTGATCAAATAGCATAATGGGCGAAGTTTTGTCCTTGTAGTGGCCTTAGGGATAGGAATGATCACATTCAGGATGTGTTTGACATGGTGCATCAACCCTCCATACTGGCTGAGTACTGTCCTTTTCCAATAGCTGCACATCAGTCTCCCTCCTTTCCAGGCAACATTGGTAAAGTAGTTTCCAACTACTGTTCCATTTTGCCTCCTTTGATTCTGGTAAGTGGATCTTTGCTATCATTTCTCACCTATAGGGGAAGGAAAATGTCATGTGGCAAAGTTAAATAATTTCCCTAAAGCCACAGGCTGGGCTTGAGGCCAAAAATTGACAGTAATTCTCTCTACAACAACCCTGGCTTAGCAGCATCTTGTCCATCTTCCTGTAATGTTTATTTATCCCAGCACAACTGTTTGTATCCTTACAGGGGGATGTGTCCTGAATGTGATCGTTCAGTTTTAAAAAAAACAAACCACAGAAAACCCAGGAGTTGGAGGAGCAGCTTGGTGGTGACTCAGGTGCTGTCACTGATCGAGATGTGCATGGCTGGTGTAGCCTGGCTGGTCAGAAAGAAGTTGCTGCTGTGTCTTGGTGCCTGACTCGATTCAGGTCAGTGCTACCATGTGATCCAGATCTGCCCTGAGCTGGTATTAGTGAACATTGAGCCATGGCCCAAAACTGAGCCATGAGCAAACTCCTGGTTTCCCTGCTGCCGAGCTCTGCTTTCTCTTTCACATAAGTGTCTCTAATGAAGGCAGCAGGTGAATTCCCTTTCTTGACTGCTCAATAGCCACACATGGCTTTACAGGAATAATTTAGCTAAACAGTCATCTAAACTCTCCTGTTATCCACCCTGAATTTCTAATTAATTAGCATAAAGTGGGCATTTATCTGAAACCAGATGACCACCTCCTCTTTCCCCGCAGATTCCTGCTCTTGAAATGGCAGGTCTAAGCTGCCTGGTCAGTCCTGGCTCATTCCAGTCCCACGCTGCTAATTTGAGGTTTTAGCCCTCAGCCTCTGCCCATCCTGGCTGCTCTCAGCGAGCCAAAGGCCGGGGCACCACCTTCTGTGGTTTTGTTTTCATTGCTAAAGGTTAGAGGATCCCAGAGACAAAAGCACAGCCAAAAATAACGAGGGGCTAAGCAGGGCTTGCCCTGTGACAGGGAAGCAGGCGGGCTCCAGGGCTGTGTGCAGCCGATGTGCTGAGGTCAGGGATGCAGATGTGCACTCTGTGGAACGGGCAGATCCCGTTGTCGGGGATAAGGAGCTGCCAGCAGCTCCTGACGTGTGACAGGAACAGCCAGAAGCCCCTGGGGAGACAAATGCTGCCTCAGGGTATATGTACAGTGTTAGTCACTGATTCCCTTCTACAAGAACAGGCATTAGCACAAGGAGGAGGCATCTGTAACCTGAATTCCTCATGAGTCTGAACTGGGGGGTGGAAAGTTTTGACTCGGATCTGTAGCTTTTGGGTAAGTGTGTACAGGGCTCAAGAGGAGGCAGAGCAGGAGGATTGATGTGGGGGGCTGTTGACCAAGAATTGGTGTCTGCCCAACCCAAAATGAGTGCTCTGCCATCCTTCTTTTCAACGAGAATTAAGATGTTGTTGAGCTTGGAAATGGAAATTACAGATCCAAGATGAGGCAAAACTAAAAATCCTGAGAGGTTCAAGTCAGAGAGACGAGATAAAACTCCATTTAGTGTCTGGAAAGAGCTGTCACATGAAATTGCAAATCCAAGTGCAAGGATTTATGACAGACCTAATAAAAAGAAAGGTGGTGTTTTATAACCAGAGGCTGCAATCCTGCTGCCTAGTTCTGAGCAGGGGCAGTGGGGAGGAAAGCAGTGATAGCTGATTTTTGAGCTGTGGTACATTGAATCTACCTGAGGTCCAGTAAAGCACTTGATACAGCATGTCCTAGGAAATTCTTGGGTTGCAGAAGATGTGGAGAAGCACAAAACCTGTAAAATTAATAAGGAATTAGATCACAAGCGAGACTGAAGTCTTGTGTCGGGGGGGCTGTTAATGGTGGTG